TGGTACGACGAAAAGCTAAATTTTTCTCAATATTTTATATTTTTTATTAACAGACGAGTTTAATTTCCTTCTCTATATCAGACTGTCAACTGATTCCTATCTTTTGTTTTCCTGGAATGATTAAGATTCTATGTTTGATTTTCAATTACAATACAACCAATTACATCGCCATGAAATTTCCGGTCTATTTGCTGATGTTTTTACACATAAGTTAGTCAAGATTGCTCTACTTAATAGCATGAAGACTGAAGTCTATACTTGACCAACCATTTTACTAGCATTATTTGTCGCAAAATTGAAGAGTAGCTATTTGGGATATCTCAACAATTTCGGCATTAATGAAGTGTGAAGTTACTATGTTGTTAAATATTTAGTTGTATCTTAAAGGAACTTCAATGTCTAAAAAGAGATAAGAACTAATTACTTTTGCGGAAATTCAAAAGCTCTTTTAGAATCAAAAAGGATTTCAAAACTTTTTCATGAAAATTTCTGCTAAATGACATAATTGTGAACATGCTTTGAATATCTTTCAATAAATTGTGAAATATTGAAAAGAACCACTTAGCTAATGTTACGTCCTGAATACTTTAAAATAGCTATGACGGAAATGATAACTTTTTGTGGCGCCAAGCGACTAAATATAAAGACAACGATCTCGTGCAGACTCAAGCGGCATTGACAGTTCGAAAATAGTTTGTCCGGCACAAAAGAGTCTCACAACTGAATATATAAAAATATGATGAAATATTTCGACTTAATATAGTTTGCTGTCCGCCATCTTGGCTAAAAAAACCTCATTAAATTAGGGCAAAAAATGAGAAAAATGTCAAAATCTCGTAAAATCTTAATAGTATTAGCACTTTCGTCAATACCCAGCAATTTCGTAGTAAATAAGACGCGAAATTTGTTCAAGAAAAATATTTCATTTTAAAAAGATTTAAAATTTACCCTGCTCAAAATGGCGGAATGTGCAACGTTTTGTTAAAAAGTGAAATAACTTTCCAACGGAGATCGATAAAGTCAATCTATAAAATAGACTCTTGTAATACACTGAATGTTTATTCATAATAAGACGAAGTCATTCTTATTTTTAATGTTTTTTCAACGACATAGACAAAATAGACGAAAAGTCATTTAAATTCGCCCATCCTCACTACACGAACGCACGTTGTTTACCACCTGCATGGCACGTGACGCGTGAGAGGAACGATCGTAATCGCTGCATGTCTTGAAAACGTTTTTACTCAAAGATGGAAAACAAAGTCAAAAGCAGGTGTATTCTACGTGGGCGATCATTTCATAGTTCATATTTATATATTTATGGCGTAAATAGACGTCTCCGGTGAAGTTGTGTGCGAAATCAAGGCTAGCATCTTCAAAAATTTATGTTATTGACCGATATATAACCTAGAAAGAATCGGCAGTTAAAATAGATCTGATCATCCGTCCTGAACGAACTTAATAGATTAAAATAAGAGATTGTAGTTCGAAATTGTTATACAATCCAAAATTGATATTTTTCTAGTCCTTAGCTGTGTAGGAATTTTATCTTTTGTACAGGTTCGTAAAGACATAGATACAATTTGTCTCTAGGGCCTACAGACAGTACAAATCCAGCTTTACAAATAATAAAATTAATAGAAAAAATTTCCTTTGTCTCAATCGAGATAGACAAATTTGTCCAAGAATTGATTACGAGAACTCACGGACTATTTTTATAAGAACGTTGTGTTGCACACAACTCCAGACTAAAAATTTCAAATTTCTGCCCGCAAAATATCACCGCCCGCCATATTTGCCCGAAAAGGGCCTGCGGAGGAGGTAGTTTGGAATGCGTGTTAAAATATTCATTTTCAAATAACTCGCATATAGCCGCTTAATATGCGCTTAAAACATATTTGTAATATTGTTGCTCTTATGAAAGGACCGATTATCCCTTTAGAGCTATACGAAGCAAGGTAATTGTGTTGGCGAAGTTGCTCCGGAGTATTTTAGAGTGCCCCTCGGCTAAGTGATTCCGCCTTTTTTTTGACAAACGAGCACTTTATCCGAATTCCAAATTTGTTCAAATTGTCGGCCATTAAAATTTTGCGGCACTTGAACGACTTGAAAGCTGCCATGCCATGGAGACAGAGTGACGGGTTGAGCCCCCGCTGATTAGAAGGTAGAAAGGAACGCGGGCTCGAACGGTGACGAAGTAGCAAAAATTCGATAAATAGCATGCATACTAGTCTTATAAAACACAAATATCCATCTATGCAAATGTAGCGTTGGGCTGCATATATCTGTGACACAAAATCACTGTTAGTTGTCTCGGCATTGAAATGCTATTTGCGGCATCTGTATTTATACAAATATTATAGCGTGTGCAGTATCTGTGTTTATGCAAATATTATAGCGTTTGCAATCTCCTCAACCACCATACAAAGTGCTAATATAGCTATAAATTATTCTATTGTTATAGTTGAATGCCTGAGCAATTCGCAAGACCCTCAGGTGCTAAAACGTTTGCTTTGAACTTTAAACTGACTTCTATGATCATAAAAGTTAAATATAAAGTAGATCACACGAGGTAACAAGGGTGCTTCTGTTAAATATCGAGCAACAAGCATTTAATTTAAACACAACAGTCAAAGTCCAGAATAAAAGGAAGCCAAACTTTATATGCAACTAGCTCAAAATTTAACATTCTGTTCATACTCTTATATACACTTTGACTATTATGCGTCACCTTGTGACGAGCGGTTCCAAAGTTTTTTGTCTATAAGTCCCCAGAGAAGGATGATCAACAAATATGATAATTACTGGTGCGTTCATACGCATGAGATCATATTTTCTCTCGTTTGAACAAGCGTTTCACGTGCGTTGCATGGACCCAGTAGATCACAAGAGAAGATGTTCATATATACTGATAAATACCTATGTTTCGTTTGCTGTAAATCTGTCATTGTTTTCCCTCGTATATTGTCTAAATCGTGTGAATTTCCTAGCCTTAATTCAGTCAAAATTATGGCTCTTCGAGGCAAGACTAGTGGGCAAGACCTTTACACCATTCGTCGACAACGGGAAGCGAGGTTTGTGGAGTATCGTGTATCGATCTGGTCGCGTGTTTAACAGTTTTGTTTGAATATTGGGGCGTTTATAAGGCTGTGTTAGGGCACTTAGTATTCGTATGCGGTTCTACTTAAAGCTATTACTAGTAACTGGTTTCTATAGAAGCCAGTAACTATGTTTGAGTATGAAAATTTGGCTCCGTTGACACAGCACTAAAACCGGCATGTATTGACGCTCGTGCTAATTATTATATATTATATAGCATTATTCAAAAACTTGCCACGGATAGAAAACCACGTTAATCTATTTAAAACGTGTATGAATAGAGTGGTCAGCTAAAAGGAACGTTTCCTAAACAAAAGTTGACCCAGTGCTGTGGAAGCGAAGCATTTTAGTGACAAGTAAATGCTTATAGCACGATTTGCACGATACTGCATGTCTTTCTGGATTACAGAAAGCCGCATGCGTTTGGCGTGGCTGTATTTGCTGCGTTCTTGTACACATTTTGTTTAACTCAAACGAAAACGTGTGTCAATAATGAAAATCGATCCGCTTCGAACCGCTAAGAGCGGCTTTTGCAATTATACGCGCGGTGGAGCTCAATATATTCATTCAAATATGGCGGCAATCTTTAATCTTTTGAGTCAAAAGTTTAACAAGTTTTGACAAGCTTCGGCATGCTTTAAAAGGTTGTTTACCGGAGGCAATTTTGCTGCGGCGTGCGACACAATTTGGGAAGCCGGAGGGTGTAAACATAGATGTGAATAAAGCTCGCTGGCGGGGAGGTTTCTGCAGGCGTCGCTTTGTCTGGAAACAGTTCAAATTACATTTATTCTTGCAGTCAAAATTAAAACAATACATTGCGCATTATTTGCTAGTGCTTTATGATGACTTCACTGCGTACAAATCTTCTGATTTGGGACTAAAATTTACGGTTAAATAGTTGGCGTGTTGTCAATGTGTGTGAACGATATAAACACTGTTTAAACCACTTAACTATAATGCCAAAATATACACTATAATTAAATGTCCTTCCCTAAGAAAAACTACATATTTCTGTACAATTGTTATTATTAGCTATAATCTAATTTCGCTAAAATTATAAAACACACCAAAAGCACACTAAAGTAAGAGGTTTTGTTATGTAATTAGTGATAGTAAGTCATATACCAGTTACATAGAATTCTTGAAATATTGACCTTTTATTTATAGAATGCATGTAGGAATGTTTTTGTTTATAGCTACCGGTATCGCACATGCATGTGGCATGTAACGGCGATTGATAAAGATTCTTAGATTCGTGAATTTTTTCACTACTCGGCCATTTAGCAATAATAATAGTTGGCGTTTCAAATTTTGAGTTTAGAATTCGGATATGGTGGGTGTTCCATGCAATTTCCAAAAAAGGCCACGTTTTAAAATTGGATGTATTTCTGCCAAGCGCAAGGCTGTGCGTCCCATGGTACACTGCAATATTTGATTGTTTTTTTGATCGTGTAAATGTAACATCGTCTTCAAATGTTAAAAATATATCTCGCAATCGCCTCTCTATTCACCGAATACGGTTTTGTGATGATATAATTGTAGAATCGTCTCCAAATGTCAAGATTTTATTTTGTAATCGCCTCTCTATTAACCGAACACGGTTTTGTGATGGTGTAATTATAAAATTGTCTCCAAATGTCAACAATTTATTTTGTAATCACCTCTCTATTCACAGTCAGAACACAGAAATGTGAAAGTAGAAATATATTTAGTCAATATAGGTTATAGTTAACGATCGTTTAAACCAATTAGTTTTTTGGGCGCGGGGACTTGAACCACGCGCATTGTTTGAATTCTCGCAGAACGAAATACGGGCAGCTACGAAACGGTGCCTACTCAAATGCTGCAGTCGTGGGGGTGCAGTGCAATTATCATCATTAGCTTTTCAAAAAATCGTCTGCTAATTTAATCACCGGAACTGTTTAAAAGAGATAAAAAATGTTTCACCTCTTAAATGAATGAAGTCGACGTTTCAATCATTGTATGAATAAGCTAGATAACTGTTGACCTCTTTCTTTTCCATTCTAGCTTTAGGTTAAATATTTTCTGTGAGAATTGAACAATTAAACCAAACTCTTCCTATGCCGTACGATAAAACTGTCAAATAAAAAAGATAAATCTAAGATTTGGACGGCCGATAAGAAGGTAATCTGACCGATTGCGTGTATGAAAGACAGCCTAGTTATGCATATACATTGTTGACAATGTTTCCAAGTTATTAAGTAAACATCAAAGGTAATAATTACTTGCAACAAGTACTTCACATTTCTCTTTAACGCTTTAAAAAATTTACGACCATTCTTAATAACCTGGACACTTGTCATCTTTGATCCTAAATTTAGGCAAACCTCAGAACGGACCTTTCCACTTCAGAACCACTGAAAGAGCCGTTTTGTATTCTTACGATATTTAAATTAAAGATGAAATTTGGAGAGCACAATTATTATATCGGACCAGATAATTACAGCATTCATATATCAAATGTTTATTGTATTGGTTTTAATTCTCGTTCGCTGACCACTGTGTGATGCGTATAGTGATGCTTGTACGAGTAATGTTTAAGGATTTATAGCGTACTGCCGTAGATAATTCTCCACCGATTGTGCAACGCTAAACGGAAAAGTGCTTCGATGGTATAAACATAAAATTTCTGACAATCAAGGCAGATTTGATAAGGTAATATATCTTTAATTCGTTTGCTAGTGATTTGTAGATGAAACATCCGTTGTACTATATGTATATTTATACATGGCCGGACCAAAACAGCCGGCATTTTAGGAAAGTTTAGGTATAGTTTAGTCGTAACCAGTAATTTTGAACAATGCGGAATAGCTTCACTTGCAGTCTTGTGATTTTCTGTGTTCATTGTATGCAAATCAGTCTCTGAAACGTACAAGCTCTACTCTAAACTGGAGAGGCATAAAAAAGTGATGTGAAACCGGGTTAGTTAAATATGAACGCGTATAGTCAACGACTAAATTATGGAGTTCGATATGGGTATAGACAGATAATAAGCTATTTCTTAACAAACTAAAGTTTCAAACGCGAAGATCGCCTGAGAAGTATTTATAATTCATAATCAGGATTGATTTTTCATCAGATGTGGTATAACAACTTCCCACATATAAACTAACTTACCTGAGCAAGACCCTCCCAGTACCCACCCTCATTTGGAAAAAATAACTAGACGTGTTACATTATCTGTTGTTTGACGGCGGCTCATGTCCCGAATGCATTAATGATAAAGTCAAGCGTTTCAGCTGACCGTCTTTGTTACTTGATAATGCATTTGGCGCTGACACATCTTCTGACAAACCATTCGAGAGTTTTCCGTTCAAGTAGAATCTTGACTTGCCTCGGATGTAACTTCTTCAGGCGGGGAAGTAAAATAAATTCCGATTCCGCTTTTATCTAGAACAATCGTTTTTACTCAATTTGTCCCTATGTAATTACCAAAGTTTCCATTTTTTTTCAAATCAGAATCTATGATATTCAGAAGTTTCCTTATCGTTCAGTCACAGCTAAACAAACAGTGAGGCTTGTAAACGAACCCAGCTGTGTTCATATCCCATGCAGGCAGGAATTTATTCAATCCCAGACAGTAAATGTAATTCATTTGATGTAAACTTTAGAATCGACGATCGATAAGACGTGAACTGAATACACGTGCAAGAGAGGACAAGACGTGTAGCAGTTCCTTTCTCGTGTGGCGTTTGAAGAATCGTTTTGTGTTGCAGACGAGAGGAGAGAAAACGATTACAGTAAATGATACGAACTGTAGGAGTAGTAATTCAAAACGTGCCGGCCCTGGAAGCAAATTAACTGACATCCTTTCAGCCTTTTCTCGAAGTGTTGAAATCGAGATCAACAGAACCTTGTGTATAATTATATCCAGTAATTCTGTGCGAGCCAACATGTCGAGTTTAAATATTCAGTGTGGTCCAGTCAGCTCTACATCCACCCTGTCCTACGTAACGGCTTCAATTTCCGCTGCTCTTTGTCTGATAACGATTCCTGGTAATCTTATGATCATCGTCGCCGTGTACCTTGATCCCTATCGACGTCTGCGCACGCCTTTCAACATAGTTGTTGCCAATCTGGCTTTTGCTGATCTCTTGGTTGGTTGCATAACTGAACCGCTCTCGGTGTATTTACACATTAAGGAGGGCCTGAGGCGAGACTTGGCGTTCGACGAAATACGAGTGCTACATCTTTCATACTTTATTTCTTGCACCGCATCGGTCTTAAGCATATCGTTGCTGGCTATTGAGCGTTACATTTCCATATCGTACAGTTTTAAGTATCGACTTTACTTCAAGAAAAGGCGTTTTGTTCTGGTATCTCTAGTGGTTTGGCTGGTCGCCATAGGTTTGTCAACAGTTTACATTCTCACGAGTTTTCTGTTTTATTCTTTCGTCTTCATCAACATTGCGGTGTTTTGGACTTTGGGCGTTACCACGTTCTGCTATGTTAAAATTCTACGAAAGTTGAAGGAAGCTCAGAAAACCAACGTAGAGCCGGATACAGTTATCGGAAATACAAACGCATTGAGCCATGCCTGCCCTGTAAACAAGGCCTATGTTGTGAGATTGAGGAAATGTGCCGCTGTTGGTTTCGGGGAGAATGTCAAGGGTATTGACAATAACGGTTGTAACGAGGCGAGTAGAGTTGAATCCATCGACGAAAATGTTGACGAAAAGGATTCTGGATTCTCTCAAGCTAAACCGACTCCCAGTACAAGCTCTGACATGGAGGAGAATGCGATAAATGCCCACGAAAGCGTTGCTGGTTCTTCGATGAACAGCGAGAAATGCATCGAGAATAGCGAGCCTTGTGATACCAGTAGAGAACTTCCCCGAGAAAACGATTCGGATTGCGCTCAATCTGACCCCAGTTCAAACACTAAGTCTCACGTGATCGTACAAACCAATCAAAATGCGGCCTGCCCTCAAATGGCTGAACAAAATTGTGTCAATACAGACGCCATCCAAGCGAACGTAGCGACATACAACGAATATACAAGCAACAAATACAACATCTTGGTAACAAAGACATACATCATGATTTCGCTGGTGTTTTTGGCCTGTTATATCCCAGCCTTGTTGATAATCTACACGATGAACTGGTGCGATACTTGCAGTTGCTCGGCGATACACATCATGAGGGACTTGCAGTTTATGATTGTCATATTCAATTCGTCCATAAATCCTTTCCTTTACTCCATTCGTTTCGCGCATTTCCGTCGGGCTATATTCAAGATACTTCAAGATATTAGTAATGAGATATTCTACTGAGCAACTGTAGTGAAGTATAAGTCATCAAATACACGATGGTTAGTATAGAACTATAAAAAGTTTCCAACTTCCCAGAGTCCCCTAATTTTATTGAATTCCAATATAACCAACCTCCCACTGCCCCTTTACGCCCCCCCCCACCCCTATCACCCATAGACGAAAGATTTATCGGTAACTTTCTAGGGTATTAACTATTGTAATATTAAAGAGTGATAAGGTTATAATGAACTAGTCATTCGTGATGCTTCGGTTTGTCCTTGTATCTTGAAGCAGGAAATTTTCAGCCTTTTAAACCCGAAGTAGGTTGATACCCATTTTTGCGCAGTGAATATATTTACGAATTGGGGCTTTGGCTGGACAAACTTTTTTATCTTAATGTACACTATTCATATTAGCTAAATTGATTAACACTGATGAACAAGTCGAAGAGCATTTTATACTTTTCTTTCAATAATTTTTTCAGCAGAGAACGCCTCTAAACATCTAAGAGCTGAATGATAAACATTGAATAGATGTACATGTTAATACCGATAAAATAAACGCTTTCTGCAAATTTTATATTAGTATTATTTTTATAAGGTTCTAAACCACGTGTAAATAAAGGTAAAAAGACAAATTTTGTTTATAATAAATGTAACATGAATTTCTTCCTGCTCTCAGGGAAATAAATCAGTACCGGCTAGATTGCCTTCAGACGAATTTCAGTTCGCGCGGTATAGGCGCCGTACTTGCCATGCGCAAAACCTTATGCAAATTAGCTGAAAATATATTAATTCTCATTTGCAAAAACTTATAAGCTTAAACCAGGGCTTATTCTTTCGATATGCATTTAAATGCAGCAGTGCACGCTTTGCTAAGGGAAGTCTCAAGTAGGACTCCATATTTATCTCCACCTCCGATGAGATATTGACCGCACTATTATAAAAACAATAATTTCACTGGTATATTATTGAATTATTCAGTATATTTTACTATAATTTTCCACAGCTTTCAAGAAATAAATAGGGTGTCTCCCACCCTAAATAACTAAAAAAGAACGGAAATCACTGTTAGCTATATACATGAATTATACAATCAACAACGATACAATATATGATCACTAATTGAACATTCATGGTCTATATTAAATTGGTATGTATTAAAATTTATGTCCGAGGTGTTTCGTCTCGTCTTTGTTTCTCGTAAGCTTGAAGAGCTCTCTTGGGAGGAATGAGAGAGTCATTTACTCCGACTCTACGTTTTCGTTTCTGAAACGCCTTAAACCCATCATCATTGTCATTTCTCTGATCTTGTCCGTGAAAATTCTGTCTTTTTGGAACTTTCTGAGCGTTTTTACTTCGCCTAAATTTAGCTTTTTCTCCCTTTGTATCGTCCTTGCGTTCGGTCAGTTTCACATGCCTTTCCAAAATCGCCAATTTCTCGTCTTCTTTGGCTTTGAACGGATTAAAAAACACCGAAGCTGAATGGTCATCCATTTTGACAGAGGCAAACTCGCTTCGCTTTGCCTGTGGGTTCTCGTTTAGTATATCCGGTAAAGGTAATTTTTCTTGCACGACGTCTATCTTTGTATCATTTCCTTGCTCTTCACCGTCTGTCTCTTCACTCTCCGAAGAGCTTTCACTTGAATTTCCATCGCTATTCTCGCTGCTATAATCAGCTAGTGCATTGAGAGCCGCCATATTTGTTTACTTCCTCTGCGTTACTTCATGTAGCACACAACAGCAGGAACAGCCAGATCAACAATTCTTCTCTACAATAATCTGCCGTTTGCCGAAAAATTCCAAGTATTTTATTTGTCGCTCGACTGGTGCTCATGTTTATGTCTGCAGTCTGCGTTTTTTAACCAAAACATTGGAAAGTAATTCTCTGTATAGTTTTCACTGCAATGTGTTCATCTATTTCATATATATCTGTAATTCAAAATACTGATTATTTTGTTATATTATATTAGGCCAATTGATTATAAATATCAACTAAATCCAATATCGATCAAAGAGTACATGCCCGTTCGCAAATTTTGACTAGGCAAATTTCCATACAATCTGACACAAGCACGATTCTTACTCCATATTATACAATCGCACTTTTCAAGACCGTACTATGTAAACAAACTGTCTGTTTACGTCTTGAACTTCTACTTTTCAAAATACGATGTGCTGTCTGAATATCTAACAGTAACACTATTTAGGTTTGTTACGCTTCTGAGTAGCTGAACTATCGAGTTTGTTTAGAAAAAAAAAATTGGAAATCTAGAGTCTAGTAGAGAGCCCTCTAATTTTTATAAGCAGACTAATTTGACTTCCACTTTTAATACAACTTCGACTTTTTTACCTTCGTTGAAAAGCTAGTCCTAATGAAAGTTTACTATTAAAGGGAAACCCCACAAGCTACAAGTGTATAATATATCATATAAAGCGAGGATAATTCTGGAAATAATATGCATATATGCATAACCAATGTTTCTATCAATGACATGTAAAACTGAATCGATCCAAAAAATATTCTCTAGGAACTGCTGCTTTATTATTTGCTTGCTTTACATTTTTCTTGCCCATAACCTTTTCTCTTTGTCGTAATTTATTTTACAAGGCATAAATTTATCGATTAGAACACAATTTATGCATTCAAAGTACACTTAGTACTCCCACTCCTTATAAAAAAGTCTCCTCTAAATCTTCAGGTTATCTCAAGCTATGGAATTCCACTATGCATTTGCAATCCTAAGAGCCCAAACATTATGCTAAAATTATGAAACATAGTAAAACAGATGTTTACCTGTGAATAGTGACTAATATTTAGTGCTATAGACTATAGTAGGTGGATAACAGATTATATTTATATACTAAATGCATGCTTGCACATGGCACCCTATCGCGAACGTTTCAATGCAACCTCCTTGACCCGAATATTCTGAGGGCTTCCTTATTGTGCTGTGTATTAGCCATTTACTGTCAACCAGCGAGGCTATGCGTGGACAATTTTGGGAGAAATAACAATTTTAAATGTATTTGTGGCTGGGGTTTGTGGGCTTCGTGGACTCTCCGTTTGAAAATCTGAATTGAAGGTACGAGAAATATCAACTTTCTTCTTGTATATCTTCCGCATTTGTTGCGAATAGGATATAGGATTATAGAATATAAATACCGAACAATTTAGAAATATTTGCTTCATTTGCTTGCACGAATCAGTGTTACTAACGTTATAATTGACAAACTTTTCCGGGTATCAGTATTGCTTTTGCGACTTACAGGATCAGCCGTGAGTAAAAAAGGTTATGAGAGATTCCTCAATGGGCATAGCTGGTGTAGCAAGCGATCATTGATGTCTATTTCAATCAGCGGTCTATAAACATCAGTCTAGCTAAGATTGACTTTACATACGCAAATACTATATTTTCCTTGCTATTATGAAACTGTGCTGTAGTCTGACAATCAGCTAGTTATTCGCAAATAGAAACAGGGGCTATGGCTGTTCGATATATGTTAGAAAATACTGCTCGGTGTTGTGAAATTTATGTAAGCTTCCCTGTTTGTGATTAATACGATTAATTTGCATACGATGTAAACAAAGACAGTGATCCGGCTTGACACTGCAGACCATTTTATTTAATTGGTACATATCGGTCGTAAACATTGAGTACTTGACAGAATAAAACTCAGGACATATTCTGATAAAATCTGGTCGTTCAAAAGCCGGCTAAAGCTCTATTTGTAAATCGTTTTCAATCTCGTGTGACAATAGGAGTTGAGAGTAAATATAAAGCGCCGTATGAAGTTCCGGCCAAAACTATCGTGTCGAAACCTACGCAGGTTTATGTATATGCACTTAAAACTCTATTGGGGAATATATTTGAATAATGGAGTAAGACTCGGAGATTTCGATTTTTTAATTATGCTTTTATCGAATCAATTATTTTATTCCGGCGAAATGACCAATTGATGAAGTTTGCGCCATATTTTCAGATATTATCTATATATTGTATTATATCAATCAATTGATTACAGCGTGGGGGTGGGGGGGGGGGTGAGAGCCGTATTCATCGATATCACTTCAATAGAACGAGATACAATCGTGTTCAGTACACAACTCATAGTCTTTTAAAGACTATCACTCTTCTCAAAATCCCACTCGTAATTAAATCCAGTTATTGAAACGAAAAATGTTTAAAAGAACTTAGGATTCCAAAGAAGGTATTGCTTCGTCTCTTAAGGTGGATAAATCTACGTTAGTCACATTTGCTTCTTTTCTGTATATTTCAGACAGTTATTGAGTGATATTATTTCGCTCAAAGAGTGGTGAACCCCAACATAATTAGATTAATTAGACACTTATACCAGAGTGGGGAAGTTTTCAAAATAGGTAGTTTTAACTTAATTTACCATAAAACTTTGCTATTCCAACCAGTATTAATTCCTCCTACTTATCTACTTAGCTATGGCAGATACAGCGAAAGCACTTCTTTCTGTTTCTTTGGCACTTATCGGTGTTCTAATAACGATAATCTTGTTCTTCATCTACGCCATTTTGTTTCGAATGAAGCGACAGTCAGTGTACCACGTTAGTTACTACGATGATACTTCCCATTCTGGCACCACTGAACATCAAGCGATCACCATCAAAAAAGCTGGACATGCCAAAACAACGATGGTGGAACAAGCTGCGGCCGATGATGATGATGATGATGGTAAAGATACTGATAGTCTTACTCGTAATCTTTCCTTCAGTAAATTCGAGAAACCAGAGAAGTTCGATAAAGCTGCACATCATGAAAGTATGGAGGGCTCTGACATAAAAAAAGAGACTGCGGAAACCCTGAACCAATCAGAGAACGTTGAGCAAGTACAGATGGCAGATGATACCAGTGATAGCGTGGATAAAGAAAGCCTCAGACGGGGTTTAACGTTTACTAACTTCGAGGGTCTGATCGAATATGCAAGCACCTTCGGACAATCGGAGGTCCCAGCGCGTCCTGTAATGGACGAGCCACCGGACAGTCCTGGGGATACTGATACTGGGGATTATGAGAGTGTAACCATTCAGAAACCTGGAAGTTCTGATTACCCTGGTGGCACAAGGGATCGAGAAATCTCTATGAGACCTTGGAAAACACGGAAAACTAAAGAAAAACCTGAAATCGTGGGACAACCTGGAATCGTGGAACAACCTGGAATCGTGGAACAACCTGGAATCGTGGAACAACCCGAAATCATGGGACAACCCGAAATCGTGGAACAACCTGAAATCGTGGAAAAACCGGAAATCGTGGAACAACCCGAAATCGTGGAAAAACCCGAAATCTTGGAACAACCTGTGATCGTGGAACAATCCGAAATCGCAGAACAACCACCACAGATGACTGAAGTCCCAGATGTTGCAACGGATGAAGACAGCCAGATCCGAGGCTTATCCTTCAGCAACTTCGACAAACTGATCGAATATGCAAGTGCCATTGACCACTCGAAGCTACCCGAGCAACCGATAATCCCGGAACACCCAGCGAGTCCATCAAACGCAGACACCCCGGACTTAACCATGGAAGTGCCAGTCGGAAATGATCGTGAACAATCGGAAACTAGCGAATACTCGGAAATTCACCTTGTTCAGGGAGAGAAAGTGGAAAATACATTAGTCGTGCACACTTCGGATAACACCGAACATATATACAGTATTCCATTTCGGGGAAGTAGTCATCCACAAAGAGAAATTGTTACGGACTCTGCGAATATCACGAGGTCCCAAGAAGAATCTACGAAGCTAGATCTAGACTATTATCAAAACGAGACAAAATCCGATCGATCTTCGGATACTGACGAAACGGCGGTGGGTCTTCGCTCCGTAAAAATGAACAAGACCTATCTACCCGCTGTTAAACCCGATACCGCTAGCTATCAAACGCCCTCCAGAGACGAGAAAATAAAGAGATACTCAAATACAAGCGATACGGCCGATAGTCTGGGTATAATTTCATTTGGCAGTCCTCAGCAACTGGTCGAGAAACAGGTGACATTCTCCGAGAATGATTCCACCTACATCGTTGAAACCAAAGGGAAGACAGTTCAGACGTTGGAGTGTGATGAAACATCGAATTTTGAATTCGTTAAAATCGTTAAGCAGCAACAAAAGAAGAAACATTCATAAGTATTTATAGTAAATTTGATGTATTGAGGTTAGTTATAACAGACGGCCCTGCTGTCATGCTTCGTTGTCAAGGTAACCGGACGAAGGCGTGTTTCCGTTTGTATCAAAATTTACCTTTCAATAGGAAATTTGTATCATTATTATTCATGTGAATATATTCAATTTTGTATTTATATATAGTTAGCTACAGTTATTCAGTTATTAGAGTTGCAGTGACTCTAAGACTGTATGAAATTTAACTTCGTTCGTTTGTCACAGGGAAGGGATCTGGAGTCAATGTCTTTAGCAATGAAATATATAATGTTGTATAAAGTATTTCGAATTACGTATGCGTCTTGTCATTTTAAGGGGAGGGGGAGAATTTCTTGTCGTTAAGCCAAAAAGAGCAGACACTATTGGTACCTGACCTCCTCCGCAGGCATCTCCAACGTATTGAAAATATGCATATTTGGCTTTTTTCCTCGCCTTCCATGACCATGACACAGCTAACCCATGCCTAATAACCTAATATAATTTAATACATAAGAGATGCCTGCGGAGGAGGCTAATTGGTACCATGCAGCCCTTCAACCCACGGTAGCAGGGACCGCGGAGCGTTTTTTGTATTGCTAGGGCTCGTGCGAGCGGCGTCGCTGCGAGCCTGCTAGGGTGCCGGGGGATGCCGCCGGGAAGATTTTGAGATCTGAAATGCCTCTGAAATGGCTGCAAACAGTAGATGATGTAGAAATGCCGGAAATAGTAGGTACTTTTTTGCCTCGATATTTTTTATTTTGGCCAAACATATGTACTGAACATAACTAATTTCAATCCATTTGAAACCATTGTGGATTTATCTCGACAGATATCGTTGGAAATTAGAATACTCATTTGTGTGTGTTATTAAAATATACGTTGAAGAAGTAAAAGTTACGATAGTATTCAAGATAAGATACACTGCATAATTATAAGCTGTAAGCAAAAAATACAAATTGCTAAAAATATTGCTTGTGCATGAGAATACTCGAAATTAAAGGCTAATTACGGAAATATTATTGGTGCGAGCCGCACTGCTCCGCGGTTCCTGGGTAATTAATAAATGTTTACTATAATGTTGATTAAAAAATGTTGTATGCTGCTAACATGTTGGATAGACACGGTGTTAACGAGGCAAAATTAGCAAATGTTTTTCCATCGCATATGCAGGGTAGCTGCGAAGTTGTGTTGTAATTTCTTACCAAAATTCTCGCTGAAATATGGGTCTTTAATTCTGGTTTTCGAGCCTGCCATTTACAAGTATTTAATTATCGGTTTCTACAAAGCCGAAAAGATGAAAGTTGACAATTAGGAAAATGTCAATAGTTATTACTTTTGAATTCGAGAATTAAATTTAATTTTTACGAAGTTCTGTTATTTCTTGGTATGTTACACGTCAATTCATCAACAATTGGAATCGAAATGTTCGTATTATAGGAAGGTCCTGAAATGCAAACGTTCTTTACAGGACGTGAGAGTTAACGTTTTGCCGTTGTAAACATAGCCTGCTAGCAGACTCAATTAGGGGGCCGAAAATTAAACGGGAAAAATTCCCGGATTAAAATATATTAAATTTTCGCCGATTAATTTCCGGCCCCCTAATTCAGTCTGCGAAGAGGCTATTGTAAACAGAATGTAGACTTCGTCTAAAACTCCTATAGGTAATGAATTATTTATTTCCATTTTCAATGAATTATTGTAGTGATAGCTGCCGTCGTCCTGTTCCCGTCCTATATGTTTAACGTGCTAATATATCAAACCACACGACATAGTACGGCCTATATTAACTGGTATAGATTTAAACATGGCCTTGACTCAGATAATATTTATAGTTTTTTCCTTTGTATATTATTTGCGTTTTCAGCTGTCGATTGGATGTTGTTATGCTTCCTTTTGTAGTTTTGTGATAGTTACCTCACGAAAGTATTAATTTTTCTAATATCAACGCAAATATGAGCTTTTGTTAGACTGTTTTTAACTCAAAATATCAACTTATTTGATACCATTTTTTCATAACACTGTGGAAGGAATCAGCCAAAACTCGAGCTTTTGAGTACGAGTTGTTGGTAAATTTTGTACTCGAAAGATCAACAACTACGAGCTTCGTCAGATGACGTATGGAAAAGCACCGAACTTGGCGCGAAAATAACGAATCTTGTACTCGTAGTGCTGCTAAAGCTCTTTGATACATTACCAGAAATTTGCGACATGATAATTTGCATTTATACTAATTTGCATTTAACTTTCAGCATAATGGCCTTCAACTTTTACTGTAAAATACATATAGTAAATATACAAAACCTAAAAATGCCGTTGCCCTAGACCGTGCCTACTGTTTGCCGACCTCTGGGTCAATAGAACAGCCGTTTCCCAAAGTTTTAATGATCGAATTACTTACCTTAGGTATTTCTACGTTCGGCCAACTGATTGTGAACAAATGTGTATATAGCCTTCGTATTGTTCAAGTTCCTGATAAGACTGATAATATTTTTTAAAGTGATTGCAGTGAAAATCCGAGCCGTACAGAAAAAGACAATATCTTTAACAATTTTTTTTGGTATATTACACGTCAATAATTTATCAACTACCTGAATCGAGATATTCGAATCAATGTGAGCGATTTTATAAGTTCGTTGACAGAACACGGATAAAACTTTGAGCAATATATTTTTAAATTTGGCAGATTGCAGAAATGCCCAAGCTAAAAAATTTGGTCACCGAAACGTTTCTAAACAGCTGCTCTACCGATCTAGAGGTCGGCAAACAGTAGGCAAGGTCTAAGGCAACGGCATTTTTAAGTTTTGTATATTTACTCTATGTATTTTATAGTAAAAGTTGAAGGCCATTATGCTGAAAGTTAAATGCAAATTAGTATACATGCAAATTATCATGTCGGAGGATTAGCGGAGGATTTGTGAGCGCTTTGTGTGCGTTTAAATATATTTTACGAGGGACAAACGGGAATAACGTAAGCGAACGAAATATTTATTTATTACGGAACTAGACAACTTCGAGTAATAACTTCAAGTTTCGTTGGCAAATTATGTCCGCTCATGTCATTTTTATCGCCTGTTTTATAATCATTGCCGTCTATTTGACATGCATTATTACAGTAACGGTCGTATAGAAAACTAAATTTCATAAAATTCGGAGGGGACAAGTCGCGATTTGTAGAATACGATAAGTAGTTAGTGGGCAATGTAGGCCGACGCTTACTCTACAATGCCTTGCTTTCGTTTGTTGTGGTTCACAAACAGTTTAGCTAATATTTTGAATGAATTGTGCTCTTCTGATACAATTTCACATAAAAAATATTTTAATTAAAGCAATTAGATACGTGCGTTCGAGGTGTTACGCAATCGCATGTCGCGTTTTTCTGGCGATGATGTATTCTGTAACTTCGAGTTTAAGCTGATAGCGTAAGTGAAAAGCACGCGATATGACGAATCTCTTACTGGTAATCACAGAGTAGTCACTATTATTGTGTCGCTATTATTACTGGTAATCGCACTCGTAGTCACTATTATAATACCCGAATAACATTCCATTCTTTTTCACCTGCTCTGGTGGTATCCATGGAAACTGAGGATACAAGATAGGAGGCTGCAAAATAGAATTCTTACATTTGCGTTTTAGATCATTCCCGCGGTAACAAATGGTCATCACTGTCTCCAGGTAAGACATATAGCTACATATTGATTTTTTTTCTCCAAGTTAGGCCTTACTTCGGGTCTTACAAGTGTATTCTTTTATTCAACCCCATCGAGTAAAGTTCTAAAAACTAGAATAGATACAGATAATACCCATTCAAATGCCCATTCACCGCTCAACTGACAAGACTTTAAGTCTTTATAAATTAGTACATAAAAATAGCTACGTTTTAAGAAAGCAATCGGCCATTTCGGATGTATTTAACTAAGCAGAAAATTCAGCTTTGCTGTATGTAATTCACGTTCGCCGTATAAAACTTAATTTTTGAACGAATGCATACACCCACATCTACAGACGTCGTGGGCGTTCGTTCTGTTTACAACTGCAAATGGTTTTAACACCTTGTGTAGAACGCCTGCATTTGAAAATGCAGTGAGCGCTATATTTCAAATGGAGCTTCATAAAATTGTTCTTGAAGATAAACCCAATTTTTTCAACGTTGCATGTATGGGTTAAACTCGTACGATAAAGAAACAATTCGTAACCAAAGCATTTGTTAGAGTGCTTCAGCTGTTTTTGTTCCTATTAATGCGTCTTGATTTTTCCAAAGGTTATGTGATCATGATTTACAAATACTAGGGCAACGGAAGGAAGCATTATATAGGAACCTTTAAATAGGGCTATAGGTTTAATAATGGGCAACGAGTATAAACTTAAAACGAGTCGAAAATCATGCATTAATCATTCATCGGTGGCCTTTACACTTGCTTCTATACAAAACAAAATCAACGAATAGAACTTGACTGTTGCGATTCTAATATGAAAAATCGTTGCTCAAAAAAGTGCATTCGCTTGGATTTTAAATCAAGAATGTGTATATAGCTAGCTATATTGTCTGGAAATATTTGTACGTCAATATTAATTTATTTTGTTTTGTATGATTGAAGAACTTGTTAAGTTTATTTGTCTTTCAAATGACATCCATGCATGTTCACGTCATTCTGTTAAAAAATGAACGAATATTGGGTGGACAAAAAAGTGGATTAAAATCATATTCTTCCGGCGACGGGAATTGCACATTTCTCTTTTGCGAATTTGTCAAACAAGGCTTTGAAATGCTAATTATCACTGAAAACAGAAATGCAAATTTATCGCAAACTTCTTCTTGTGCAAAACAAGCGCTTTGTTCGTGGAATTAAGTTCGCGTCATCTTTGGTATTTTAGATGTCACTTCGAATTCCCATAAGTGGAAAATTTTGATTTCAAGTAACCATTTTTTTAGCCGACGATAACTTGGTTATTTCTGGTCGTATTGATATACGAAAGATATAATTGAAAACCTAATAGGCTAGTCCTTATTGCCATGCAAAAATTATATCATCCACCGTAGTATTTCATATACAGCAGTCTGTCAAAGTTGAATTCGAAATTTTGTAATACACCCTATATATAATTATATTAGCTACTGTAATTATTTCTCCTCCCAAATTCCCAAGTGTGTTTTCTAAGACTGTATAGAATCACGGAAATAGTTTTATTTTTCTTAAATATGCATGCGTATAGTGTATGTAAAAAAATGATAAACATTGCATTTTATCACTGTGCAAAATCCCTTTTCTTCACCTGACAAATCG